ATTTTAAGGCCGATTTGCAAATTGTTGAGCTCACCGACAGAGTGTTAGGGTCAAGGTGTTATCGCGCGCAAATCGCGGGGGATTAGAGGGCGATGAATGCTCGGCAATCTTTTAGTATGAAAGAGCCAACAACGCAGGTGCCTCACAGATGCGTTTCCAAGCCCAGAAAAATATCTAGCATGCTAGATGTCATAAGCTACAGCCAATCAGAGCAAGTCATGGGTTGAGGCAAATAATCGCTCAAACAGTTTGCAGCACTAGTTTCTGTCTGACGTCCATATTCGTGTGTTGTGTTCTTCGTCTTGCTGGGTATTGGCACGTGTGCGGTTTTGCTTCACTTCCGGTTCGTTTTAGCGCGTGAATTTTTCGTGGTTTGTCACCCAACGATTCTATCTTGTCTACAGAGTTGTCAACTCGTGTAGTGCGTTACCGAATGTTGCGGATCAATCACATTGTGTCGTGAACAGCTCAACAACTTGAATGCACAGTTCACAGTTCATGGCGACTGACTGGGATGAGGAAGAGTTGGCAAGAAGAGTCAACATGCATGATGGCCTGCAGCCGTATAATTTTGAACCTGCTAGACGTGAGAGAGCAAATGAAGAATTGCCAAGAACTGATGGCCGTCAAAGCCAATTAAATGCATGGTCTGAGGAGAATGAGTGGAGAGTTGGTGAAGTGTCCTGGTGAGTTGCTATCATTTAGCAACACAGCAATGAACACTGGAGCTAGTCTACGAGCTATGGCAAGCCGTTTGACTTACAACTTACAAGTAGCAGTGCACAATAACAACATACACATACATTTATATATATATATATATATATATATACAGTGGTGTAGTGCAGGGTATACGCAGGTATACGGCGTATACCCACTTCCTTTTCAGTCGGCATTGCGTATACCCACTTCTAAATCCCCTCTGATGCGCATCATTTAGTTGCTAATCCAATTTCGTGAATAAAAAAAACACCCCGTTAGAGTTGTACCCGTAATATTAACTCTAATTTGTTGCTGTAATGATTCTCCCATCGCGACGATAACTGACCTTCTCATCTGATCTGCTTCAGCCCTCACCTGCTCGTCAATATCAAAATGCTCGTGAGACCAATCAAAGAATGCAGGATTTTTGTTGATAGAAGCGCGAGCTGAGCGCGAATCCCAACGCGACGCTTCACTTCAGTTAACGACAGTGCGAGATAAGATGCAAGTAGCTCAAATTTACGTCTGTTTTTCAATAGACGTTTTAAATGACCGACAGAAATAATCTGTTTGATTAAAGGCAGTGGAAATTACAAGCTCAATTTAACAACACAAGCACCCTATTAAATATATTGCCATTATTATTGTATAAATATATTTGTATAACATTTTTTCGAATGTGTTTGACTTGTCTGCGTTTGCGCCAATTGCATCATTTAGCCAGAGGGTGGCGACAAGTGACTGTCTTTTTGAGAGAGCAATTGAACCATTAATTAAATTAACAGATTAGTCCAAAAAACATTGATTAATTTAGGAAAGAAAAGTCGCTGAAACTGGAACTGATTCTCATGTTTAAGAATCTGATCAAATAGGCAACTTCATGCTTTTAAAGCTATTGTTGTCAATTTTTTTGGCCATCAAAACACCTTAAAATGCTCATTTCGAGATCAGGAAAATCAAAATTTTCTCGGGGGGGCATGTCCCCGAACCCCCCTAACAATAAAATTTATGGGACCTGGCACCTGGGTATTTAGAAAACTATATGTGCGGCCCTGATGTGCAAGAATACTACTGATTCTGTGTGTTCTATTGTATTCATTATACTCTATTCTATAGTCTTGCATATTGAATACTAATGCAAGACTAGTAGTCTTACATGTCACTGTTTATAACACAGGGCGTTCATCCTTTGCTGGGTCGCTTAAAAAAAAATATTGGGGGCATAAATTAAGAGTATACCCACTTCTCCAGGCACCACTACACCACTGTATATATATATATATATATATATATATATATATATATATATATATATATTACAGTCATTGAATAACACAGAGTGAAAAATCAACGTTTTCTTTATATCTAGTGGCAGTACATTATCATGACGTTAGTTCAGATAAATTCCAGGAACCTTTGTCATAGTTTCGTAGTACTGGTAAAGTTTGTCTTTGTCATCTAGAAATAGAAAGCATCATACTAGCTATTAGGGGTGGAATTATACATGTATTCATATTGTGTGTGTGTGTGTGTGTGTGTGTATGAGAGAGAGAGCTATATCTGCTAACGTTATGCTGTCTGCCTATCTCTCTTTATACTTGTCCATCTATAGTCCATCTATCTGTAATTCCACCGCAATTACCAGGAACTATTTTTTCCCAGGAACTTTTTTCAAAGGAACTTTTTTCCCCCAGACCGCTTACTGCGTTTACACCGCATACTAAAGTACCGGTCCGGGGCGGGAAGATTATGGAGTGAACTGTGTGCGACTGCTCTTCCTAGCCTGCGCGTTTGTTTTGAGTTTTGTATGGAGGAGATTCAAGCTTTGTTGCTTTTGTGTGCGATTGGTTTACTAACGAGGTAATTAACAAAACAGCAGAAAAGAGACGAGCACCCAAAGCGTATTCAGAAAGCTCGTAATGCTACATATAATAAAAGTAGACGTTTGTTATCAGCGGACATTGACCGTGAGATGGATGGGACGAACGCACGCAATCGGGCAGAAAGAATAGCGTGGTAAGAACCAATCAGCATGTTCAGCGCACAAGTCCTACCCCGAAAGTTCCTGAACTCTGAAAAAGTACTACCTCGCCAGCAGGGACTTTCTGGGGGGGGTGGGGGAGACCCTGGTTCCTGCACCGAGTACCACCCCAAAGTTCCTAGTTCCTGGGGAAAGTTCCTGCAGTGGAAACACGGCTTCTATATCTAGTCTGTCTATATATGATGTCTATCTATCTATCTCTCTATATCTATGTATTTATCTATAATCTGCACTATCTGAATACTCTCGTCTACTACTCGTCGCTCTCAACAAAGCGGGCTTTGGAAATTCTCTCCCCAGGGTAACGTAATGCAATGCAGTGTGGGGGAAAGGAGAATCGTTGCAGACCGCTGTAAGATAGTACCTACTTTTTCGTATTATATTCCGTTTTGTAATACCCAACAACAAAATACAGTTTAAATGTTTATTACCAACAAGCAAATTCATTGAAAAATTAACCCTGCAACATGGCCTTTAAGCACATTTTCTGGGACCATCTCAGAGGAAAGCAAGGTGAGATTTTGATACAGCAAGAGAGAAGACATTGATGACATGCTTTTCGTTTATTTGGCAAAAAAAAGGAGAATTTAGCTTTCAGTCTGTAAAGTTTTTTGCTGTCATAGTGACACTAAAATGAATGGGAGTCAATGTAATACTAACAGCAGGTGAAGTTCTGCTACAATGGTGGATCCCACGAGGCTTCAACTTCCAGCTGATGGATTACCCCCTTGGCTGCACAGAGCGATCGGTAATGACATCAAAGTACTGCGAGAGGGATTGAAAAGCATGCGGAGCCGTCTCTCTTGCGGCACTTTGATGATATTCACCGATCGCTCTGTGCAGCACCGGTTCAAGTCGAACAAGCCTCATGTGTATACACACAGTGCACTGTTTAGGGCTGGGTATTGAGACAAATTTCACAATTCGATTTCGATTCACAAGCTTGCAATTCGATTCGATTTGATTCGATTCAATATCGATTATTTTGGATATCAGTCACAATAAATGGCCATTTTTCTCAAGGGAATCAAATCTCTTAACTAATGCTGTAAACTATGGGAGTCTAGTTGTAGCCTACTAGGCTTCATTAGCCTAATATGAAGGTAATAATGAACTGTTTTGTAGCTATACAAACACTTAAATTACACTTTTATTTATTTTTATGATAAGAAGATTAAATGAAATATTAACATTTAAATGTGGCCGTCATAAAAACTTGCCAGATTTATTCAAATATGCATTAAATATTGAAGAACATTAAGATTATAATGCATATGTAATATGGTGTATATATTTAGCAAAATGCTCCTCTCTGGAGTTATTTTTTCTAGCTGACTAACGAGTTTATGTGGGTTTTCTGAGGTAAATATGAAGATATGACACTGATTACAAGCTGTTTAACTGACGTCTTTCCATGGTTGAAATGCTGATTGGGCGAATCAATATGATATGATACGGATTTCGATAAGTTGTACTCTATCTTTAACACACTTTCAGATGCTCATTCATGTTTATTTCGCGCTGTAATTGGTATTATTAACCCGGAAGAGAGATCAGCGTTGCTGCTTCTCTTAAGCTGCGCCAGAGCGATCTCACGCCACAGCGCCAAAACGTTATTTATGTTTTTGAATTTCTAAAGAAAATGGACGCAAGTTGAAAATTAACACTTTGTTTTATATCAATAATAACAAAGGACAAAAATTATTGCGATTTTTTTGGATGCGCACAACCGCGAGACAATGTCCCATACATTCAAATGTAACAGGATGACTAATCGATTCTTGAGATTTAATATCGAGAAATCGATATTTATTACCCAGCCCTAGCACTGTTGTTATATTGCGTGAAAAGGAAACACACGTCTGAGGTCACATACGAGCACGAGGCTACAATGCGCATGCGTCGAACCGTGAGACTCACACACACTCTGAACCGAGACAAACGAACCAAACGGTTCGGATGTTTTTTCATGTACCATGCCACCCCTAGTAATAGCGATCTTTACGAGATGATTTAAAAGCACCATTAGATGCCTCTGATTGGCCATTGCATTAACATGCTAAGGAAACATGTCTATGATTGGCTACAACACTCAACGCTGCAAAAAACAATTGTAATAGAAACATTTTACGATCTTCACAGACACTCACACAAATACACACGGGTGTTACTTTTTTTTCTTAAAATGTAAGTAGGTCTACGAAGTTTCGGATATATTGATATATGTCGGTTTTTAGCATAATGTTCCTCAACTAACCTATTTGTTCCTCTGTATCTTCATCTTTTATTCTGCAGGGTTCTTCCTTAATCTCCATCTTTACAATAGTATGTCCGTAGTTTCTCCTGGAGTAATTCCTCCTGCTTGCTTCTCCTGTGGGAAGATGGGAATATTCCCCAGCAATTAGCAGATGATCACCATACTTACAATCACTAAATTATATTCTCTGAATAATATTCACCTTAATGTGTTTTGATCAAACAAGTGTTTAGAAACAATTCGACTTCTCTAGTTTAATGTTGTTCTTTCATAAAATATGATTTACATGCATTAAAAATTAATTAATTAAAATAACTAATAATCTTCACAAATTGTAATGTGAAAAAAGCCAGTAACAAGTTCACGTAACACGAGCATAATGAACGACATCAGTCGGTTCATCCCTATTAATTTCTGAGTGATTCACTAAATGAACTGACTTTGGATTTATTTTTCACCTTATAAATAATGAAATTAATATATCGGGCCCAAGCGTAAAGACAACCAACCATGCCTGGGAGTGTCAGACCAACTGCAACAATGAGCAATTAAAGACATTTTAACGTGGTTTTAGGCAAAATGGGTGAAAAAAACCCCACTAATAATATGACTTAATGGTTTGTCACTTGTTTGACCAATAGGTGGCGCAGTTACGAAACTGATGTAGTGGGATCAGACAATCTACATTGTTAAAAGCGCTATATAAATGAAGATGACTCACTTGACTTGACTTGACAATGAAACATACAATGTTTGGTGTCAATATGTCAAGGCATTGCAGAGAAAAATCCTTAATAGTCATTTTAGCATCATGCCTTAACTTTGCTGCTGCATACAAAAATAGTCTATCAAGACGAAATCCATAACTTTTTGTTGGCATGTCTGGAGATGATATGATTCGATTTTGGTGAAAATCGGACCAGCGGTCTAGAAGGTTTTAAAAGAAAATAAAGATGGCGGACAGGAAGGAAGTTTGACTGAATTTGGCAATATTGGTATCTATGTTTTCGGCGTAACCCAAGGAATCTATTAAGACCAGTGTAATTAAAATAGGTAAATTTAAGTTATTAGCATTTTGGAAAATTTGTTTTAACTTTTTACCACAAGGTGGCGCTGTCCCGAAACTTTTTGAAGACCTTCAAGGCATGTTGCTGATGAGTCACATCGAGTTATGCAACAATAAATGCATTCATAAAGTATAGCATTTTATATCACAATACTGTATTGAAGTCAACTTCATATTTTGTTCTACTATAACACCAAAAAGAGGCACAATCCCACTATTTTTCAGTCTGTCCTCAGTAGGGATGGGTACCGAAACCCGGTATTAAACGGGCCCCGGTACTGAATTTTGAAAGACCGCTGTATCGATAAGCTCGGACGTTATCGGTTCTGCTGTCGGTACTGGAGAAATTATTTATCATTCCTATAAAGACGTTATCTTGAACATGTTTATATCGCCAGCCTTTTCTATATATAAACTGTATTTTAATTAAACCATTTGTCTGTGATGCAAATTTGAAATTCGCAGTTCAGAAGAGAGAGAGAGCGATCTCTCACGCAAAGCCACAGCACGCGCAACACGACAGCCTTTGCCTAATGAGTGACAATGAGGACAGAACTAAACATTCAATGTGGTTACACTTTAGATGTGGGATATTATTCTAATATATTTTGTATTTCGGCTTCCAAAGATTAAAAAAAGAAGATATTTGAGATAAAACCGTTAAAAATCAAGACGCATGATCTGTCCAGCTTAACGTCCTTTAGCCAACTTCACAGCACTGCGGAGCGCTGTCAGTTCTTCCTAAAACCCAAACGTACCGTCAGAATCAGCACGATCGGCGCTTGTTGCAAAATGCTGTCTTCTACTGTTGCAAGATCAAAAAATGGCTATTAAAAACACAAAAGCCTGCGCAAGAGACGCTGTTCACAAGGCGATGCGCGCTCTGAAACGGACTGCAACGAGACAAGAAAAGTAGCCTATACTTTGGGCTTCGTGTGTCCTTAACTATCAAATATACATAAAAATGTCAAAATGACCAGCTCTGAGATTCACTTAAACACAGTTCATTCACTTAAACACAATTATGTCTTAAATGGACGTAAATAATAGGGAGAAAATGATGGTGCTTCAGTTGATGGTGCACCTATTAGATTTGCTCTCGGTCTTAAAGGGGGGCAGCAGTCTAATAGCCTAAACGTGCTGACGATTCAGCCATTAATGCAAATCAAAACAACAAAAGGCAGAGAAAATCACTCACAGCTTTTGAATGAGTAACTTTAGATTTAATAAGCATTAATCTATCTATGATAAACTATACAGTGCTATTTTATATTTGATTACTAAATTAGGTTTCTTTTCAGACAGAAACAATTACCTGAAAAGATATGTTAGTACACCTTCCTGAAATTAAAGCACTTTGTATATAATTTGTATCTTTGATTAATTGTATTCTTGTGTTTGTACTTGTTTTTTTTCTTATGTGTCCTTTTTGTATATAAAAAAAGCCTGCACATAACAAAAATATATTTTTCTTCGTTTTGCTTTTTCTATTTTACATTTCAAAATATAGAGTTTAATTATGCTCTTAATTCTTAAAAAAAAAAAAAAAAAAAAACACCAAAAAGAACCGATAAGAATACCGTTAAAGTACCGGATCGATAAGCGGTATCGGTAAGAGTAGTAATACCGATAAAACCTTAACGATACCCATCCCTAGTCCTCAGAGTGAGCCTATACTCTAGCCTAGAAATCTAGACACACCCTAGCAGCAGCAAAAATTATTTTGCAGCAAAGTGTGGTCTAGCAACTCTCCATAGACGTTTTAGCTGGAAAAACTCAACTCTGGTAGGGCCAATGACATCGTGTATAGAGTCGGAGGGCGGGCTTAACATAATGATGACAGAGTTGCGGCGGTCAGAGCAAGCTCGGACATATTCGGTTTGAAGTCGTTCATCCTCGGATGCGGCCGGCGCGCGCTGTTACAAAAAAGCTTTGGCGAAACGATCAACTTGTCATATTTGCCGCGCTCGTGCTGTCAAGTCGAGAAAATAAAGGCTTTACTCCGTGTCAGCACGCGCTCTGATCGGTATAGGTGCACGGACCTCTCCCGAATCATCTCCACCACCCCGAAGCACCACTACTCCGGCTCCGTTTCCCTCGTAAACTGATATTAGTATTTAAACATTCTCTATGATATTATTTTTTTAATGACACACTGCCTCTTTCTCTCTCATACATATTTAGGCTAGTTATAAACTTTCAGACTTTTAATGATTAGTGTTTTATTTTTAAAGTTTGTGGGTCGTGTAAAAAAAAATCCCTTATTTTGGGGATGGATTCCGGAAAATCTCCCTTATTTTCAATGTTCAATGTTGACAGCTGGACTGGATACGGTAAAAGTTTATCAACTTGCTCCGCTGAGTACGTCACCGCCTTTGTTGCTCTGATTGGCTTTAGCGCTATCCAATTGCGTGCAGAGAGAATTTGAAAGACAACCGTTTATCCCGCCCCTCGGATTGAGCCGTTCAATGAAGAGTTTCCAGACCTAACATACTGATGTAGGTCTGGCATGCCAGGCTACCTATACTCACAATTGTGTATCAATTTGGTAATTTGGTGAAAATCTCGTTTTGTTTTGAAGTTCTAAACATTTATATGAATAAACACATACAAAATGACCCACACCTGACTTTTTTGCATTTTCGTGCCACTTCCAATTAATAATTTTTACATTTTGGCATTAGCATATAGCCAACGATCTATGTTTCCAAACTTCCTAGAGTAGTTTCGTCTCGATCGGTCAAACAATGTTTTTTTTTAAGTGTTAAATCACAACCCTACACAAACCGCAAGTCAAAACCTTGCATGTTTGGTATCGTTGGACTTGGCAAGGATTCAGGAACCGAAGGAGGAAATAAGTGAAAATAAGTTAACCACCCCCAGAATTATAAGCATTTGGTGGCGCTGCTTTGAAACTTGTCAGGCTCTTTCAGGGCATCGTACTGATGACCCATACCGTGTTTCTTAACGATACGTTCATGAAATACAGCATTTTGGTACGAAATTCATCATCGGACTCGTACTTGGATTGATATGATAAAATCAATGCCTTTATTACTTACAGTGTGTACAATCACTGAGCTTTAGGAAGCCTCTGGAGCTGAAGTTCAGTTAAGGCAATGTCCGCTTCTTTTCTGATATGTGCTGTAAGAGGTAGACCAATCACAACAGACTGAGCCATCTGACCAATCAGAGCAGAGTAGATTGTGGAAAGGAGGGATTTAGAGAGACTTAATAATCGGACGAGTCGTTCGAGAATAATGTGGTGATAATGGGCAATGCATATGAGAAAATAAAAGTGCTTTTTGTCTTTTGATGCATGTACACTAGTGCTGCATGGTTAATCACATTGCAATCGTGATGTAAAGCCTATGCGATAATATGACACAAAATGCTGCGATTTTATATGAAATAAACAAATTAAGGCTGTTAACGCAATTAACGCAGCATCTCTTATTTTTAGTCGTCCTTTGGCAAGTGTTATGATCCCGCTGTTACTCGTGCGAATGCTTTTAAACCATTCATGCGTAACAAATCAAAAGAGAGCGTACAGCGATGCCTGTGAATGTCCTGATTGTGACTCCCAGAAAGACGCGCGACAGTATCATGCGCATGCACAGACCGCGCATCAGAATAGGGTTCTCTTTCACGCTTGAACGAACAATAACACACATTTATGCCAAAATGTCGTTTTGTCGAGTATCAGTAAAGAGTTCTGTCAATGTCAACAGCGGCTGCTCTTAAAAGGACAGCAGCCAATAAAGCTTTCAGTCAGTAAACTTAATCAAAGAACAAAGGGATCAGAGAAAATTACCACTCTGACTAAAGAATTTTTGTAGCTTTAATAAGGATTAGTCTATATATAATTTATGCAGCACAGACTGTTTGACAACTTTATTCAATTTCTGTATGGCCCTTTTAGACAGGAAGGGCAAAGGTAAATCTGATATTTATTATGATTTATGTATGATTTAATTATTCACTTAAATTAAAAGCGGTTATATTTTTTGAAACCTAATCAATCTTTTTTTAAGTCATTTTTATCCAG